AGCCCGAGAATCACAAGGGTCAGGCAGGATGACCTCCAACTCCCACCACTGCTTTGCAGAGACGTTCCACTCTCAGCCCCCTTTGGACAAACGTACTCCCAGACTTCAGCCGAAATAAAACACCATATTGAATGAAAAATAAATATACAAGTGTTCCCAGGACATCAGCCACACCCATGGTCCAAGGGAGAGGGAAAAGGAGTCTCCACAAAGTGTCACAGGCCTTTTGCAGGCTGCAAAGACAGACAAGGCAAGCCCTCCCTCCCTCCCCTTCCACGCTATTGCAAGGTAACAGTCTGAAAAGGCACTTCTCCCAAAGCAGGTCGCTCTGCCTGGCCGGGGGTCGGTGACAGGCAAAGTGACACCTAAACACTCCCAGTTTATTGCATGTAGGTAGGGTCGAGGGGTTGGGTTGGGGGCTGGCGGGACCTGGAGGGCTGCAGAGGGCTCAGAGGTGGCAGGAGACACGGATGGCACCATCTTGCTCTCTTCATACCACCGTACCTTGCTTCCGAAGGCTACATTCACCTGGAGACACCCCTGCCTTCAACGGATGGAGAAGAGTCTCTGCACGGAGGGGCTCCGGTGGGCACCCCACCAGCCCCGCAGACCTGCTCCCCCAAGCTCAGCTGTCGGGTCAGCGCTGGAGGCCAGCGAGAGCCCGACCTTTGCACGGGGACGGTCCCCAGCCCAGGGGTGCTGGACTGGGGGCTGAGAAGAAAACCCGTGCTGCGAAGCCGGGGGAAGAGCGATCGTCCCGCTCCACACGACAGAGACGGCGTCTGGTTATTTGGTCAGTTAATATTGGCAGGGGGTTGGGGGTGGGAAGAGGGACAGTGGCAGAGGATTTATATAAAAATAAAGGGGGAAAAGGGGAGAAATAGCGAGTGTGAGCGAGCAAGGTCCTGGCTACAGAGCGAGACGGTTACATTTCGTTAGCCACCAGCTCTTTGTCGGTCACGCCGTTGGAGAGCGAGCTCTGGCCCTCGTTCAGCCTCTTGACCCTGTAGGCTTCGAAGTGGATGTTGCTGGTAATATCCTTTATGTTCTGCATGTGTGTCCTGCGGGAAAGGGAGACGGGGGCAATCACATCTCGTTGGGCGCAGGTACAGCCAGCCCAGCCTCCGCCACCCCAACCCTTCACCCCGCAACCTCTGCTTTCAAACACCCCCTCCAGCCCAAATATCCCCCCCTGCGTTACGGGTTAATGATCTCTTTTGGGCACAGGAGGGATGCCGAGGCAATTATGGGCAGCCAAGACCAGAAGCCTTCACTGGTACCCACAGCCTGTGCTTGGGCACATGGGACCTGGCTGCATCATGCCCATCCCGGAAGACCCTCGTCCTGCAAGTCCCTGGGATCAGGTTTTGTAGCCCAACACAACTATCTGCCAGCAACAGCCCACATGTGCAGAGTTTACCTTGCAGCCAAATTTAGAAGGAGCCCAGGGTCCCCTCCAGCAAGCCACGGGGGTTCAGCCTCCCATTCCCCTGCACAGCAAAGACGCCCCTTTCAAGAAGGACTGGCGATCACTCGGACCCCCCAATGGCACGATCCTTGCAGGCAGGAGAGTGACGTCTTTGGACTGGGGGTAGGACCTGCGGCTGCTGAGGGATCACAAAGGCCAAAAGGCTTCCCAGCTGCTTGCAGGCAAGCTGGAGTCACACTGCACACTGCCAGCAATCTTGGAGTCTGTCCTGACCCATCCACTGCTCCTCTACTCCCTTAACTCAGCATCGTAGCTGAGAAAAGCCCCCTGAAGCCACGTCCCATTGAGTGGGGCCACCCCTTACGACGGGCTGCGGTGTTGCAGCAGGCTGGGAGGGAATAGAGGGATGGGTGAGCGGAGCAAAGCAGCAGCTGCTTCACGCTGGGCTGGGCTCTCCCCCTTCTTTGGATGCCACCTGGTGACCAAAGGCTACAGGGACAGGGCACATTCCTACTCACCTGATGAGGAGGTCTCGCAGGTAGGCGAACTCACAGTGTGTCGTGTTCTCCACTGGTAAGAAGAGAGAGAAACCCATCAGCGTGCACCCACGGCGTGCATGCGGCAGCCACTCAGGGCAAGGAGGGCCCTATGGAGCTTCACTAGCGTGTGGAGGGCTGAGACGGGGACTCATCCCAAGGGCTACAGGGTGCAGGACTCACGAGTCCTCCTTGCTGCTGTAAAACCTGTGATTTACCCAGGTATCTGCCCCAGCTCAACTGGCTGGTGAGGTCTGAGCATTCACAGTCCCTTCCCACCATCTCCCACCAAACGGGGGAGCTCCCAGCAGCAGCTCCCACTGTGGCCCCCTCTTTGGACCAATGCAAGCTTAAGTTGCAAACAAAGCAGGGAAAGGGACAGAGTGAGCTGTGCAGCGAGTGCTGGGCACAGCTTCACTGCAGTGTTTTATCTATAACTTCTCCACGAGCATCCTGCAACATCCCAGGCAGGTCAGCGACCGTGCTGCCCTGGCTGCCGCTGCTGCTGCTGCGCGAGGACGCAAGCCCTTTCCTACAAAGGCCACTGCTGCCTGAGCAGAGCTTGGAACAAGCAACAGTGCTTGCGAGAGGGAAAAATCAAGGGGTGTTGCTCCGCCACAATTAGTCTGATGGTTCAAAGTTTACCAGGCATTTGAATATAAAGGATCCCTCCTTTTTTTTTTTTATTTTTTTCTACCCAAGCAGGCTTGAACGTAATGCAGAAATGGCAAGAAAACAAATAACACTGTTCTGCAAAGGCCGTCTGTGGCCACGGCTGGGTCCTGGGGTCTACCCGTGCTGAAGGCAGATGCCACATGCAGAAGGTGAGTGGTTTAACGAGCCCCATTAAACTCAAGAGCTTCCAAGGACAGAGCACAAGAGGGCAGCAGAGCTTTAAAATACACTGATTTTCCTGGCGTCTTTGTTAAGCCATCCCTCAACACAGGATTCCCATTAAAAAGACTCATAAATGAGAAAACCCTGTGAAATGAAAGGAAAGAAGATAAGAGAGGTGGCACTGGAGATGTGCCAGTTGGCTGTCAGGGACAGGGAAATGTGCAGATGCACTGGAGCCAGGAGCCTTCATCTAGCCTTTAAACCATGATTTAAAATGGGGGATAAAAAAGGAAGATGCTGATGGGATGAAGACAGAAAAAGAAGCGATCCTACAAGGGCACCAGGCAAATGCATGGCAGAGGGCGCAGAGACCTACAGATGTCAGAAGAAAGGCTTTAATCTGGGCTCAAGATACAGACATCAGCACTGCACTGGTGTGCCCTCAAATCCAGTTTCTTCGGAGGGGCAGGGACTTCTACTGCTGCTTTTGGACCTCATCACCCTCTGCCAGGGCAGGGAGATGGGCTCAAGAGGTAAGGAAACAAGGACAAGGTACCTTCAATGGTGCCCCACTTGGTCTTCCTTCCAAGGATTCTTCTTCCATTAACCTGGTACTCCTGGTCACTGCCCACCACTGCAAATGGGATCATTTCCTGAGAGAAAAGAAAGGTTACATTTTCCTCCGGAAAACCTGTCAGGACAGCAAACTGGTGAGCAAACTACTGTGTCAAGCTGTTTTCAGGAGAGAGTTTCATGAGATGAGCTGGTCTGTCCCTGATGTTCCCAAGCAACATTACCTGCCAGGGACCACAGGAAGCCCAGGACTAGGGCAGCAGCATCTCTCACATACACGCCCAGACCAAAACCAGTCTAGCCCAGCACCTAGTGCCATTGCCAGGCACCAGCACACAGGCATGTCAAAGGTATCGTGATGCTTCCCTGTAAATCACTCCCAGCATCTGGTAACCAGTGGCTCAGTCATTTCCTGATCCTAAAAAGGATCATGAGTCCCTAAAAGACATCTTTCCTCCTTCAATTTGTCCAATCCACTCATTTGAGCCAAAAAAACTGTTAGCTGCTTCCTATAGCAAGGAATTGACAGCCACGAAAGCAGAGCAGTCTACGTCAAATTTCCTCCAGGTGCTGGGGAGGCTGCTCCCCTAACCAGGGATGGGCAAGCACAGGCACTCCCTGCCCTGGAGCAGGGTATGGGGCCACAGGACCTCCCGGCCCACTGGTTGCTGTGGGCACCTTCGAAGAGTGGGGCTGGGGGAAGGCGCAGCAATGTGGATGTGACAGGAGACCTCCCCCACCCTTCCTCACCCTCTTTCTGTGCCTGCTCTGAGCTCTGGCAGGACCTGGTCAGACCCCAGGGCCCAGGTCCCGGGCAGACACCCTGGACAGGGGCACAGCAGCTTTGGAAAGAAAACAGGCACTTTGCAAGAGACCCCCCATGGACATCACCAGCTCCCAGAGCTGCAGAGCCCATCCAAACACATCCAGTCCACAACACCACGCACTAACCCTGAATTTCTCATTCACTAGCCGATCTTCGGAGTCTTCATCAAACTCTTTCTGAGGATACACGTCGATCCCGTTGACAAGAAGGTCAGCCATTATCTAGGAGAGAAGAGCAGAGGAACACGTGAAGGAGACATGGGCAGAGGAGCTGCACTCCCACCACGCTGACAGCTCCCAGCCAACCCATGAGGCTCCTCCTGAGCAATGCCTAGCACCAACATCTTCCCTCTCCATCCTAAACACTGCCCACCCTGGGGGGAGAGACACGTGTTTGATTGCTACACACCTACCAAGCGCTTGCCCTGGAACCTCTGCAAGAACCTGGTGCCAAGACACGGTTCAGGCTGAGAGTGAGATGAAGTTACATGAGCTGGGCGTTGCTTTGGGATTGAAAAAGACAATAGGACAATACAAACTGCACCAAGCAGTGGGGAATGTAGCTGCCAGGGGAAAGTAGCTGCCAGGGGACTGCAGCTGCCAGGCATGTCACCCCAAGTTAAGAAGTTGCTTTCTTGTGTCTGCATACACTCCTTGCAAAAGGAGTCACGGCAGCACCTGATCAGAGGGGACAGGGACACAGCTTGGAAGAGCAGCCTCTAAGGATATTGCTTCTGTGCAAGGGAAGAGATGCTGTGACCTGATTCCTGGGGGAAGGTTGAGCTCACGGGGAGCACAATCAGCCTCCTCCAACAAAGCTGCAAACTCAAACCCAGCCTGTGAGCCCACTCCCATCGCTCCCTATGGCAATAAACTCCTCCGCGTCAATCCTACATTATAGGCTTGCAAAGGAAGCGGATCCAGCCCAGAAAAATCACCCAGCTCCTTCCCATCCCCCAGCCAAACCTACACATTATTTCAGGCGAAAGACCCCAAAAGTCAACTCTGCAGGGCATCAGAGCCCATTCCACTAACTCAGTGCAGCACTGGCATCAACCTAGGTAGCCTGCAGCCAGGCTGGTGCTTCAGATTCACCTGCCCACCCCAATCCAAACCTAAAAACCTATCTCGTCTCCGAACCAGCTACACCCAGATGGGGCTTTGCTTTTTGGAAGCATGCATACAGGCACACCGGAGCAGAGGCAAAAGGCCCCAGCCTGTGCCCATCTGGACTGATTACCTGCCCTCTTCTTTGCACCAGTGATCTGGAGCCGTGAGCTGAAGGAGGGCGAGCCCCTTGCAGACATGCCACGTGGCTACTTGTTCTCCCTCTATTTGGAAGGAATCTGGGGGCCTGGTTACAGTCAGGAATGTAATTAGAGATAGGGCGAGCTCATCCTACACCGAGACGGTGCAGAGCGGGTGAACCAGGCAGTCTCCCCACGGTCTTTCATTACACTCGGTATCAGCAGCCGAGAGCGCCCAGATGACATTTTAGGACCCAGACTGACTTTGTAGTCCCACAGCCAGCCAGCCGCCTGCAGACACCTGGATACATGCACTCGTCACCTCTGAACAGAGCCAGCACCCTGCAAAAGCCATCGCAGAGAGCAGATGTGGCACCGTGGACTCACACCCCATCCTCCTGCACCAGCTCCTCTCAGATCCCCGTGGAAACAGGCTGACAGGCCAATCAAGCCCAGCCTGGATTACCTCTCAGCTCCATTTCCAGCCACCTTCTAGCTCACTGGAAAGGGAATTGCTTGAGAAGCCCCCAAAACCAGGCTGGATATTTCAGTGCCTGATCCCGCACATCAAGAACTGGGAAGACACTGGTGGGGGAAGGGGTGGCTCATCCTCGTCTGCGCATAGGCAGCGAACAACCCCTGGCTAATGTGCCATCCTCTCCGTAACAGTGGAGGTGGCCCTTAAAACTGCCCTTTTTCCACATCCATCACGCCTGTAGCCACATCCATAAACCGCACAGATTTAGTGCCCCATACCGAATCCCTAAGTGGGGCACCTCCACCACTCGGCAGCACCAGGCGTGCGTGCACGGAGGAAAGCCCGAGCCTCACTGTGGATTCAGACATCCCTTCCTCACATCCCCACCGCCAGCTCCCGACCTAGGGAATTTCATGCCTCGCTTCCCCCATAAATCTTGCGCGGCTGAGCTCAGCAAACCCTCACATTTTTTTGCCTGGTTCCTGTATCAGCGCACGATGCTGCACAGGGTGGGTTTTCCAGCACCATCTACCTCCCAAAATAACAGAAACCAGCCTGAAAATAACAACAATAACAAAGGAGGCAGGAGAAACAGGCCCCAAGACTTAGCTCGGAACTTATCCTGCACTGACAAAGATCCAAGAGAAACACAAGGAACTGCTTGGAGCGCAGACCTTTCCTCCGGCCACGTGGGATCGCTCAGAGCTGCAGCCGGAGGAATGCGCCGGGCACCCCGCCAGGCACTCGCCTCCCCAGCCCTGCTCCAGGGGGGAGCCGGGGGGGGCAGGCGCAGGAGGGGATGGGGGACAAGAGATGGGAGCCCGGATGAGAGCCGTCAGCCCCTTACCCTTTCTTTGAAGTAGTGCCTCTCCTCCAGCGTTAACGTGTCGGCTTTCGCAATCACGGGGACGATGTTGACCACTTTGCTCAGGCGCTTCATGAACTCGATGTCTAGCGGTCGGAGCCTGAAAAACACAGCGGAAAAAGGGGATTCACGCACCGCTAGTGAGGTGGGGGGCTGCTGCCACCACCCCACAGAGAGGGGGCATTCAAAGCCTGGACATGAAAGGGGAATTGCTTCCTTTCCAGAAAGGACAAATAAAGACATTTTCCTAAAAGCACGGCAGCACATGTGTCTCGGAGGTGGTTTGCGGGCAAACACGTACAACATTTCCCTCTCAAAGCGCCCCACTATTGCCTGCGAACCCTCACAAAGCCCTGTGAAGTGGGAGAGGGCTTTAATCTTTGCGTGGCTGCTTGGCCACAGAGGACTGCAGGAACTTGCCCAAAGCTATGCGCATCCTTGGCAACGCCGGGATAAGAGCACGGGGGATGCTTGGCCGTGGGACCAGCCTGCCACGATGTACAAATCAAGCTGGGGAGAGACCATGGTGTGAAAACTCCTCCAGCCCATGCGAAGCTGTCACCCACCGTTCAGGGACAGCACAACGTGGAACTGGCCACGGGTCCCTCCTGCACTGAGCACCAGCCTGCTGTCATGCACGAGCCAGGATTGCATCTCACATCTAACAGTTGGGACTAAATAAGGCTCTGCTAACTCTCAAGAGGCTCACACGGGACAGAAAAGACACTGCTTGTTCCAGAGGGCAAAAATGTCAGAAAAGCTTTACAACAAAAGTCTCAGTAGAGGAAAGCTGCAGATTGCATAACCCCAACGATCAGCCCTTCGGGAAATCCCTCCCTGCTAAACGCTCCCGCTGACAGCATGGACATGACCTCTGGTGCCACGCTGCTCTGTGTCCGAGGGCTGCAGTCCAGCTGGCTGTGACTCCCCCTCACTCCTTAGTCCTCCCTGAAGGTGATTTTAGTGCTGGGGGTTCCCAAGCTGGAGAGAGGAAAGCCCTCCTTGGGACACCTCCACTTATTGCAGGTCCCCCTTGGTGGCTCTGGAGGTGATGGGGACACACAGCCATGCAGGACTGTTGAGCAGACGATGCCTTGAAAAGGAAACCTGGAGGTCCCAGGGCAGACCAGGGTACAGGACCACCTTTGGGGTGCTCATGCATTAAGGACCCTGTTTGAAACGAGCCTTCACTGAAAGCACACACGGAAGGGGCAGGAAGGTCAGTGTCAGAGACCCAGAAGCAAAGGGACACCTCTGCCGCTCGTACAGCCTCATGACCTCCCATGGTGGCACGTGCCAGCAGGACATAACCCAACTCATCTTTGGTGAAACTGGGGCAGAGGGAGGGAAAGTTTCCTTCCAGGGGAGCTGTAGGCTTCAGTAGCAGAGCTGGAGCCAAGAATGAGATCTCTCCAAGGGCAGAGCAGCCCTGTGCCACAAACCAGAGGCCCACGGCAACAGGGAAGAAACCAAAATAAATGAGATTATGACTTAAAATGCCCAGGTACAAGCAGGTACCCAGCAGAAGCCCTGAATGGGGGAGCACAGGGCAGAGAGCTCAGGGAGAACATGGCCAAGAGAGCACCTACTGCCAACACGCTCAAGCCAAACCCCACCATGGTCTTCTCGGTCCCTACAACAGGCCCAGAGACCTCGCAGACCCAGCAAGCGCCAGACTAAGAGCAAAGGGGAAGAGATTGATCCTGCTCCTCGGCAGCGTCCCCATCCCATGAGGCCACACCTGCCCAGCTCCAGTGTCGAGGGCACCCCAGGCGGGACATTCAGCCCCAAAGAGACCTGCTCAGCTCTGGCTGATCTGAAACCCACAGCTCAAGGCTGCTCCGGGCTGCCAGCACCAGTGACCCAGCTGAGCCCTCCCCTGACCCAACCTGCTCCCCCACCCAGGGATTGGGCTGGACCATGCCATACGGACCTTCTCCCTGCTCAATAACAGCACACACAGCCCGGAGTGTATCGTTAGTGTGAGGACAAAGAGTGCCTAACACGAACTCAGGAGTCACAGATCACACTGGGCCCCAGGAAAGAAAGAGTTTGGCTATTAAAAAAAAAAAAAAAGAAGAAAAGAAAAAACCCACAAGGAAACCCCTATGGACACAGACTTGCTGCTGGCAAACATTGTTTGGAGCTCAGCATAATGTATTTCCCAGACCTCCAAGGAAGTAATGCAGTTATGCTCCTTTCCCAGCAGACTTCTTTCCCCTCCCCTCTTTTTGCTATATTTCAAACAATTTTTCCCCTCTAAAAGCCTCTTCCCTACTGAGACTGTGTTCCTGCCTCTTTCATCAGCTTCTCCTTTAGACTGAAGACTAGGATGCATACATAGCAGATGAATTCACAATCAGCCACACATTTGACTTTCAGCTCGACTGACACGTAAGAGCCCCGTTACTGAGCCCCCACCGATACCCAGAGGGTGCTGGCGGTGAGCCTGAGAGCTGCAGGCAGAGCCAGAGCCAGCCCACAGCGCTGGCTGTGCCCACCAGCATCCCCGCAGACGCAGCGACCGTCTGCACCCAACGTACCTCTGACGTGACGTTCTACTCCAATGGGCTTCTGCAGGTGCCTCGTCCATGGAGGTCACCTCCCATGGGCACCTCCCTGCATCATCCTGGAGAACAGGAAGGGAACCAAGGGACTCCCCAGAAGAGTGAACCGTGTGTTTTTAGGCTATTTTGCAGGTTTGTAGATAATCTACCAATGTCCTGCTAGATAGCCTCAAAAACCTTCAGTATTTCAAAGGACGCGATTCTTTTCACTAAGAACAAGATCTGTCGCTAGACAGTACCTTCCTGTGAAGACACCAAGGGAGAATGAACGGCATAGGGCGATCACAAGTGCAAAAAAGCCTGACCTGCACTAATAGCTCTGTACAGACCCAGGCAGACATGGCCAAGGTCACGATGGGGCAATCCCAGACCTAATTCCTCTTAAACTCTTGCTGAGAGGCACAGCCCAGGACAGCAGGGACTTCTACTGCTACCTGGGGGGACCAGTTTTGGTGCTTAACTCCCACTATCGTGTGACAAGCCACAGGAACAGCAGCACTGCCCCCCGCCAGGTTATCTGAACTTGGTTCACCTGCACAAAACACTGATGCCAGCACCTGGCGAGGATGCGCAGTGAAACCCTTATACATGCAGACACACAAAATGGCAAGAGAAAGCGAGTTATTTCATTTCGGGTGTGCGCAATCTGCTCCAATCAGATCACAAAAGAGAAGGTAGAGCTGAAAAAGAAAAAGCATCTGTTTCCTTCCCTCTCCCAAAATGGTCCGTGATGCCATAAACTTGCGACTAGACACATTACACTTTGGGCTTTGCAGGGAGGGAGTGGAGGAACAATAAGGGGAGTGGATGGGCTGGAGCAGGAGCTGCAGGAAAGGCTCCAGCACACCTCAGCCAGTGCTGGTTGCTCCCCCATGCCCTCTTGCTATGGGCTGGGGAAAGCAGAGCAGCTGGGTACACATTATCATGGCTGGGCACATGCTATTTCTGCATTGCCTGCAGCCACCGTGCAGACAGGATCTAAGCAGAGGCTCAGTCCTGCTCGTTCCCTTGAAATGCCATTATAGGAATCAAAATTCACAGCAAGCTGCGAAGTTATTTCCTTTTGATTGTGCCCCAGATCAAACTATCAGCAAGAATTTGAGCCATGCATTAAGCAAATACCAGCGAGCACCCAGCAGCCGCCCAGCCCCATTACCAACACCCACCAGCCTGCTCGAGGGACCCAGCGGGCACCCCAGAGGGGTAGAGAGCAGGGAAAGCAGCAGCAGGCGTCAGCCTGTCAGCCAACAGCTCTGGTACGGGCAGAAAAGGGGCTGCCGAGGCCAGGGCGGTGTTTTCAGAGTCCCGTTTCAGAATCACAGAGCGCTTCGCAGGGGTCAGAGCTGAGATATTTATTGGGTGGCAAAGAGCCGGGCTCGCATGGTTGCAGCCCCCGCCAGCACGTTACTGAGCCTTTGCAAACGTGGTTTTATGGGAGTGTTACAAGAAAGACAGGGTGTGGGCAAACTAGATGGGTTGCAAAGCCTGTCCCGAACTCCTTGCAAATGAGACAGCAGCCGAAACTTCTCCGTTGATTAACCCTTGAGCTGCCCGGAGGGGAGGGCAGTACTGCCAGGGCCAGACTGAAACAGAGCCCAGCAACCCTCCACTCCAGCCTCTGAACCTGTGCATCTGGTTAGCTTTGCTTTTCCCACTGCTCCTTCCCTTTTTATTTAAGAAAAACACAAGCTCTCACCCGGTGACCCAGCAGGCTTAGCCATATGCCAGGAAAGGGATGCCGAGTCCTGTGCTGTGTCTGTCCACACAAGTGGAGAGGGACAGACAGACACCCTCTCCTTCGGTTGCGTCACACAGTGAGGGCAAGACCTGTGCAAGTGCTATCTCAGGACGGATGGCACCAAGCACCCCGGGATGACAAGCGGCACAGGGAGCACACTGACGGTGCCACATGGGCATGGCGGGGTCCTCTGCAGCGAGGTGCGGATGTCCCTAGCAGAGGTCCCTGCAGCAACATGAGCCACTGTCCTTGCCAGCCGTGCTCCCCATCGCATCCCAGAGATGCCAGAGGCACCACAGCAAAGACCTTGATGCTCTTCCCACACCATTCCATGAGGAATGACGGACCACCAGCCTTGGCAGGGGCACAAACCTGCACTGAACATTGACATGGCCTCCCAGACTCTTGTCCTCCAGAACGGGCATGAACCTCTGCTACCAGCACTGCCACAGCAGCTCCACCCTCCAGGAGAGGTGGCTGCAGCACCCATTTGTGTCCATGATCACAGGCAGCACTGGGGAAAGCCTGTCCATGGTGGTGCGACATGTAACTTGGGCTTCAAAGGGGGCAGAAAGGAAACCCAACGCCTGCTCAAACTCTCAGAGAAGCAAAAGTTCCCACCGACTTCTCCCTCCCGGTGGGGTTTGTCCCCCTTCACTCATTCCTCAGCATATCTCCTTCTCATGGCAGGAGGGGACGTGCGAGCCCGAGGCCAGCTGACACCGGGGCAGAAAAGCACAGCCCCCGAGCCACGGCCAGCAAGCAAGCGCCAGCCCCAGCCGGGCTATCAGGCTACGGGGAAGGAGGATCAGCGCAGGGCTCAGCAACAGCGGCCTCCAACCGCCGGCCTCGCTCGGATATTGGAAACACATGTTCGCTGGAGAGAAAGAAGAAAAGCAGCTGAACTTCCACACAATTGCTGTTAGCCGGCGGGTGAGAGAAACCAGAGCGCAAGGCTGAGGGGCTCCAGTGGGGGACATGGGGACGGGGCTCCACCCCACCGCCTGCATGGCCCGGGGAGGGCAGCCACCCCCACCCAAAATTTGCAACCTCCGTGCAGGTCAAGTATCCGCAGGACCCAGGCACTGAACGCGCTGTTAAGGGTTAAACACTAAAGCGATGAGAAAAATGTCAAGCGCAGCGAAAGCTGCAACACCCCAACCTGCCAAGGCAGGGTCTGGAGATGGAGGCTGAGATAAGCAGGACCAACACGCTAGACTAGCCTAAAAATGTCATCTCCCTTCGAAACGTTTTCTGCTTTATCGTATTAAACCACGAACGTTTTGTCAGCCCCTCTGCTCCCAGTCGACAGCCGGTTACACAAGAAGGAGCATAACTGGCCCGTGCAGTCATTTTATTCCAGCGAAGGATGCATTTTTGGTCTACCCACTGACAGAAGCAAAACAAAGTCTTTTCTATTGGAATAAATCTCTACAGGGGGAAGAGGAAAAGGCTGACATTAATACAGCGCTGGCAGCTTACTTATATTCTTGAAAACAGACCCAAAAAAATCCCCACACAGACACAGCCAGAAGTGGAAGGAATTGACACAAATCAAAAGGAAACTTAGGTCTCGGTTTTATGTTGTGATACTTGCAGTCCCATTTTTCAAGACACCGTAAGCGCCCCAGATTTTTACTGCGTCTATGTGCCTACGAGAAAAATAAATAGAGCGAGATCTGGGCCACCGATGCTGTCGCTTGAGAAGTGCCAGAGCCAGGAGAGCTCTGCGCTGAATAAACCTCATCCCACTTGCAAACTAGTCAAACAATGTAGAAAATACCCTTAAAGGGTGAGGGTGTTCGCTCCCTCGGTAGCGTGAGGAAAACCAGCTTCTCCCTTTGCAAAGGCAGGAGCACAGCAAACAAAATTCATGTTCTGTTTGCAAAGGCAGCCTTTCCGTCCAACTTATAGAATCACAGAAGGGTTTGGGTTGGAAGGGACCTTAAAGACCATACAGTTCCAACCCCCCTGCCATGGGCAGGGCCACCTTCCACTAGACCAGGTTGCTCCAAGCCTCATCCAGCCTGGCCTTGGACACTTCCAGGGATGGGGCATCCACAGCTTCTCTGGGCAACCTGTCCCAGTGCCTCAGCACCCTCTGTGGGAAGAACTTTTTCCTGATATCCAATCTAAACCTCCCCACTTTCAATTTAAACCCGTTACCCCTTGTCCTGTCACTACAGGCCCTTGCAAAAAGTCCCCCCCAAGCTTTCCAACTTGAGAGCCCAGTGACTAATGTCCACCCTCAGTTGAGCCAGCAAGGTGACCAAAGCAAAGGAAGCTGCTAACCGGGGCTCAGGGAGGATTTGATGGCCCCTCAGATGAGGAAGCACCATCTTTCTCTGGGGTACAGCAGCTCTGCTGTGTTACTGAGAGGGCTCCAGATGCTACAACCCTCAGAAGAACAGCTTCATGCTGTCCTCAAGCCCCTCAAGCCTCCAAGAAACACGGGGGGATCGCAAGGACAACACTGACAGCTGAGCTCCCGAGACCGAACGCAGAAGAGGGAAGGCCCGAGGGTCTGAGCGAGGACGGCAGGGTACGTACGAGTGGCCAGTGGCTGGGATGAAATATATACAGCAGTGCACCCGCGTGTCAGGGATCCGCTTCTTCCGGTTAATGTTGATTTCCTCCTGCAGGTACTTCTCGTACTGGTCGTTGATGAACTTCATGATGGGCTGCCAGCTGCAGAGAGAGAGGGACAGGGATGACGAGTTTGTGTGAGGGATGTGGACAGCCTGAACCTCCCAACTGGCCTGACTATGAAGCAGAGCCTGCTGAGCTGGGGATGCCCAGTATCTTACAGAATCCCATAAAACAAACAAACAAAACAAAAAAAATACACTCACATGGGGAACATTTTTAGTTCCCATCAGCTCCCATTCATACAGCAACTGTGGGCAGCAGGAAAATCACAAACCTCACATGTTCATTGCTTGGCAACTCCACGCACCACAGGAGGAGGGGATTTATTGGCTGGTTTAGACAAGCAAGTGCCTGAAAAATCCTCCCTTCTCTACTCCTGGACCTGGCTGCTGAACAGGACAGGCTCAGGAGCATCCCTTCGCTCCCTGAACAGTGTCATGGCACAGGAGCTAAAGCAGCATCAACCCCACATGCCCAGCCCAACTCATGATGAGGAGAAGGCAGCTGCCATCAGCTGGTCCAGGAGGGCCATCCCACAAGGCCAGCCACCCTCGCAGGGATTCCTGGCAGAGTCCTGCCTTCAGCCACATGAGCGAGGTCGGGGGACTGGCCGTGCCGGCACACAGCTGCTCCCGGACGCGAACAAAGGTTGTCTCATGCCCGGAACAGCAGGATGTTTGTAGGCTCTCACAGCACCCAGGATCAGCCCTGGGGAGCATGGCACCACGCTGCCACCCAAAACAACCCTCTCCCCTGCTCCCCATGGAGCATGGGTGGCACAGGACCAGGCTACGGCGTTTGGCACCAGCTGCGGGTCAGGATGCCCTGGGGCTTGGCTGCTTTCCCTCTGCACCCTCCTCCATGCCAGCACAGCCAGCTCACCAGTTCTCGTTGTTGATGTGGTCTCCAAAACCCGGGGTGTCAATGACTGTCAGCTTCATGCGAACCCCCTTTTCTTCAATCTCTGAAACAGAGAGGAAAGTTGGTGTGTGAGGCAAGCGTCGATGGGTTCTCTGACCAAGCTCACCCTCCCAAAATCAGCAGGAGGGCTGGAGGTTGCTCCCAGGGGAGAAGCACACATTCACAGCTTCTAACAGGCACTAATCAGCCCTCTAAGGGGATGCAGCACCACATCTGCCCTGAAACGCCACCCTCCCATGGCCACCTCACTTGTTCCCATCTGTCACAATTAAGTCAATGCTGGTGGAGATAAATTAAAAATAGATGTTTTCTCAGCCCTGCAAGCATCTCTGGATGGTAAAAGCCCCTTCAGAGAGATGAGAGTGGAGGTTTAGTGCAGGTCCACAACCCCTGCAAGCCCCTAAAGACACAAGGCAGAGCAGGACCGAGAGCCAATGCAGCAGGTGGGATCTGCAGAGCCTCACCGTGAGTGATGGATTTGATTTCAATAGTCTTGGGGATCCGCTCTTCAGAAGTCGGCTGTACAGATTTCCGGCTGATTTTGGATTTGAAGAGGGTGTTGATTAATGTGGATTTCCCCAAGCCGCTCTGACCTGGAAAAGAGCAGGATAAACCACAGTCAGCACTCACTCGTTTCTGGGCTATTTTTCCAGGGGCCAGAGGATAGGGACGCTGACGGACTCAGCCTGCACCGGATCTGTGGGAGGGAGGTAAGAGGTGCAGCTGCTCCCCTGCAGCCTCCCCAGTTCAAGGAGCTCAAGTCTAGCCCAAGCAGGAGGATGTTGCAGGCAGCGAGCACCTTCCCTGGCTCCAAAAGAGCTGGCTTACTGCGAGTGAGCAGGGCACGAGACAGTTTCTTGCATCCAACCAAAATCACAGCAACCCCAAGGACAGTCAGACACCATCAGGAATGTTTTAAGGGCTACAGTGACACTCAGCAGCCCTGAAGAAGGGCACAGGGACCAGGGAACCCCAGAAAGAAACATTCCAACACATCTGTGTATTTGCACTCCTGCAGCCTCCCCTGTCCAGCTCCACAGGGAAGATGTAGGAGCAGCTTGGCAAGCCCTTGGCTGGATGGGATTAAAAACAGCAACACCCTTCCAGACCTCAGCCCTGCAGCATCCGCTGCTCCCTCCCTGCTGGACTTGCTTTTGCAATCAGACCAGCTGGCTGCACGGACCCCTTTAAGCAGATCTAGGCCAGGAGCTCTCCTGAGTCCCACAGACAACATCCCAGGAAGCACATCAGATCCCACAGCTTCAGGAAAAAACAGCTTTTAGAGAGAAGTGTTTTTATGCTTTATATCCCAGAGCTGAGGTCAATCCATGCAGAAAGGACATCAGCAGCTCTCAACTCTCCAGAGCAGTTGCCCTACAAGCTTGGAGAATAGTTTTTCCAGAGCAAAGAAAACAGAGAAACTCCTCAAAACCCAGGCAGCAGCCATTTGGCTTTGGAGCAGATGTCCCATGCCCCCTGCAGTCACTGCAGAGCTCCTGCACACTCCGCGGGAGCCCCTCTGGCCCCGTTCTGCTGAGCCACGTTGCAGCCAGCTATTGCGACGCCGCCGACATCGTGTCCCTGCTACTGCGGAGCATCTCTAAGGATGATGCCAGCAAGGATTTCACCTACGACCTCTAGGGCCCTGACCCATCCAGGCTGCCAAAGGCACTCAATGCTAGGCCCACGGCGGGCCAACCAGCACATCGACACTGGGCATCACCTCCAGCCCACTCCCTTCTCAAACAGCAATTGAGAGCTGAGTTTGCAATGCTGCTGATGGCACGCTGCCATCCAGTAAAGGAAAACCCTGTTCACCAGGCACTACCACAGCTGGGTTGTAGAACAAACACATGGACTAGGCTGGGATCTGATGCTCGTGGTCCTCTGCTGCCTGAAAACACACGGGGCCAAATGCAAACAGGTCTGGAGCAGTGAATGCAGAGAGCCAAAGAGAAGCTCTTGTTGCACTGTTCATCATGAAACGGAGCACATGGGGAGAGGGGGAAAGCAGGGCGATACGCTGCTAGAGCTCCTGGCAGTCGGTCTCTGCGCTCGTGGCGTCCAAACCACTGGACCTGGACTGCCTGGAAAGGGACCAGAGGTGAGAGCCACCGGCAGC